CGTGTATAAAACAGCACGTTGTCCGAATATTAAAGTCACTCGACGTATCTACTCGCTACTGTCTCCTCGGATATTCATGGTACGCGTCCAAACGAATTTCTCTCGCGGCCGGGTCGCCGTCGCTCGTGGCGCCGTTTCTACGCGGCGAAATTCGCGAAGACTCTCAAAGGAGCGACCGCCGACCAGGTGGAAAAGTTTCACCGCCGTCGACCGAAATCTTGGTACCGCAGACACTTGCTCCCTCCCCACCACCCACTTTGCTCACCGTCTCTGGTCTCCTTTTGGTTGTGGAAGTCGCCGGTGTGATGGTCCTCGACGCCGTACGAGAACTCGTACTTCGGATGCGCCACGTAATCCACCGTGTACTCGTGATCCTGACCGTGCAGATGGTTACCATCGTCGTAGTTCTGCGGCACTTTCACCTCGAACTCCGGTCCCTCGACGGGCCCGTGGAACTGCACGTACGAGCTAGCGACCGACACCTGCTCGCCGTGGATAGCAACCTCCTGTGGGTATTGTTGCGCGTGGAGAGCGTCCTCCAGCGAGGATTGCTGTCCGTGGATAGCATCCTCCAAAGAGGATTTTTGCCCGTGGAAAGCCTCTCCTTCCAAGGGTATCACAGAGCCGTGTGATCGATGGCCCAGGGCCAGCGCGATGGTCAAGGCGATGGCGACCTGTCGCACAAAAAGTGACCTTTGATTATGGTCTCCACGAACGATTTGTCTGGTTATTGATGCGGCCCAGGGTGATGTTTAATGGACCAGTTTGCCGAGGATTGTGAACATATCTGGATGGCAGAGTCAGAGGATTTAGGTTGAATAATTGCCGGTGGTGAATGAAATCGATGATCTTGAATTGTTAACTGGTGTTATTGTGGGTTAGAAGGTTGTGGAGAATTTGAGAGTGGGAAATATGATGGAGGTTTAACTACTGAGGTCTTTGTAGAATTTTATAGGATTTTAATTGGATTTATAGAAGCATCTGTGAATAGACACTTAAGTTGATGATGATGTTAGCACCCTTATGAATATAGGCATTCATCGAAGGAAAAGGAATCATTTGTAGCAGGAAGTAATATGACCCTTAAATTAGGGCTGCGTGTGTAAATGACAACGAATGCAAGCAAATACGTGCAACGTGCTGGCAAATTGAATTTCGTGGAAGAGAAAAATTTCGAAAACAAAGTCGGCCGGTCGATTATACGAGCCAATGAAAGTATCGCGTTTCGTCGGGGATTGAAATTCGATTCTGCTAGTCCCTTTATACGCGATCCGGGTTCGTTTGCTCGTTTACCATAGCACACGGAATTATTGGAAACGATTGACCGCGGCGTATTGACAAAAGTAATTAGAAAACGGAAACTGTATTGATCTAATATGATTTTTCGTGTTGTTCTGTTTGTTCGTTTGCCGTCACTGTGCATACATGTTTGCTCCATAACCATTACTCGATTCGAATTCGATTCACAGAAGGACCTCGACCACAGAGAGATTGAAAAAAGACCGATTTCCAATTGTCACAGAAATACCTGAATCAAACTTCTCATACGGTACACTGTCATAAACTATCAGAAGATTGAATATTTATGCAAATAAAGCATATCGAACCAACGTGAAGTAGATTCTTCAATATGTGAACAGAGGACGAGTAAAACATATAGAAAGCTAAATATATTGTACAATTAAAATATCCTACATCGAAGCTGCTAAAGGACTCTAAGTCTCGAAACCACGCGACATCAGACGCCACTATCTTAGTTCAGTCGCCTTAACGAATCCCATAGACCCTGAAAGTACACCCAACACGCTCATCTACCCAAGCTAATTATATTTTTGAAACTACTATCAATTAGAATGCTTCCGAACGAAATCTCCATTTTGTTCTCCGGTTCATCCACTGCCGGTCTTCCACCCACGTTCGACAAAGAGTAAATCGTCTCTAACGAGCACTTTCTCTTCGTTCCCTGTTTTCTTCCACGATTTTTCTATTCGATCCTACTCTCTCATTCTCTCCCCGTTTCACCCTCTTCACACCTGGTTCTCCCTCGCGCACCGACGATCTACCTTGATTCTCATTTCTCCCATTACGGTATTTAAGGCGGCCAACCGAGAACTGCAACTTTCCACCGTGTTTTCTAGGCTTTTATACCGGACTGCCAGGTCGCATTCTGCATACACGTCGCTCGTAAACACACGTGAATCTGCCCGTCACGTGGTCCGTGCTCGGCACGCGCGTAAATTTCGCTCGGAAGAGATAAACCTGGACCCTCTCTCCGCTACCAACCACCTTTCACAATCGGAATTGTCAACGAACAGGAAGGAAACTCTTCGCTGATGCTTGAGTCGAAATTTACCGGAGCACTCGAGCAGATGGTACACTTATCCATAGGTGTACCTACCAATGAATGATCGCTACTTCTTACTAAATTCAATACTTAACTGGTTTTCATCATTATATGCGATTTTTGTCAAACAGAAGATAAGTAAAATATACCAAATTTAAATTAATCAGCTGTCTTCGGAAGAAAATAGTGACATACATAGGACTCAATAGAATATCATACCTGTGACACCAGCTGCGTCAGAATATTGGGAAAACATCATCTGTTATTTATTACTTTCGAGAAGACTAAAATATAATTGTAAAAATAAGATATCGATTCGAGAGTACCAAGGATGAAGCAAGCTTCCAGCTGTCGAGCTTCTACCTATTTCAAGAAGACAGAACCTCGATCGTTGCTGCATCGTGGCAGCTTGCTCCGCAGTATTCAGTCTCGAGCGTAGCGGAGATGCCGAGGATGTTAGCCAGGATACACAGGGAGCACAGTTAATACGGGAATTTTATTTTCGAGAGCAATAAAGTCGCGCAGGAATTGGAACGAGGATACAAGAAAGAGGAAGAAACTTGACCAATGCAGTTTGAAAAGTCAAACAGCAACGGGAAAGAGAAGGCGTACGGAATATAACCCGTTATTTTTCTGATCAACCGTGGCCTCCGTTCCTCGATTCCTCGACGACGTGGTCGTTTCTTTACGCTCCCCTCCCCCCTGGGAAGGATCAAAGGAACCAGTGTAAATACCTGGCAACGAGCGCCTAGCTTCTAACCCTTTACGCTCTCGACTCTCGTTCTTCCTGTCTCCTTTCCTGTTTTCCAGTCTACCTGTTAGAGAGGGGTGTGGGGGGCGTTTGCAAGACCGGGGAAAATCAGAGCTTTTGATCTCCTGATTTCGAACACACGCTCGCTGAAGAAAGCTCGACCGAATTATATACTCTTTTGCCCCGGGATTCCGGGGGACCGGTTTCGTTTGGGAGCTCGGAAATCATGTCCGCAAAACGAACGGAATTGGTGATCAAACTGGCACCGATTGCCCGGAGACGGTTACACGAGAGCTTCCTGGTTACATAAATCAGAACCTTTGCGAGGCAATCCAGGTGTTACAAGCGGAGCAGAAGGATTTAGTACCGACGGTTAACGAGTGAGTTCTGATGAAAAAGATTTAATTGTGCATTTCTTCGGAGACGTCGAGGACATTTGCACTTAGGTGAACCTTGCTCTTAGGTACTTTCCTGTTGATCACTTGTTTGTTTACACCTGTGTTTACGAACTTTCAAAGATTTATCGGTCACTGAACGCGGTTTTGTTTACAGAGGAGCGCACAAAAAGGTGTGTGCAGTGATGTGACGTTAAGGAGGTGGAAAATAAAAAGGTATGATTATATAATTTTCTAACGGGCCATTATAGAAATGTCAAAGTTTATTAATGACTTAGACCTACCACTGTGTACGAAGATATACAAACGATTTAAGACTCAGTACATATTAAACACAAGAAAAGTATACTACAGTAAATCCTGAATGAGTGGTCGAAGACTCCTAGACACTGAACATTAAATATTTCATAAACTAATAGCCACACGAGGCCGAAACAAATATCATTGGCTTCAAAATTCCTAGCTCCATCGCTGTATTCAACCTCTTTCAAAAGTCAGCGTTACACCTAAGGTCTTCTCCTTGTCAGCACCGAGGAGCCTTCGAACACTCCTCAAGGATATATTGTATATTATAGAGACTTAATCAAGCATCTATCTATCGAATTCACTCATTTAACTAACTTTAAAGAAATCATGAGGTACTACAACAGCAACAGATTTAATTGTATATGTATACTCGATGAACTTTCAAGGTTAATGGAATGAAAAAACATGTTTACCAATTTCTATGGTTTTTTTTATAAGTACGAAACATCACTCATGATATTTTTCTGGTCACCCCGCGTAAAAGGGCAAGGGTAGTGCAACGACGGCGTCGACAGGGTAACCCCATTATTCCAAGCCGGGGGGAGGACAATCGAATAACCAGCGTTCCGGGCCAAGGTACCGGGAACTCGAGCAAACAAGCCCAATAAAGGAATTAAGCTCGACTATTAAACGGACGAAGCAGCCAGCTTTTCAAGCACGGCGGGGAAAAAACCGTCGGAGATCAGGCCATTTAAAGTAGATCCGACCCGACCCGAGCCGATCCAATCCAAGCGGCAAGTCCAGGAGGGTTAAGATTCCAAATAAATCCTGGCACGAACGGCGTAAGCGGATTATTCGTTCCGGACGTCGTCCAGCGACGCTCAGGCTTCGTGTTTCTGTGAAGCAAGGAAGCCGCGCAGGCGTCACCCTCCGCGGAAAGTAAGGAAGCCACCTTGAAATCCAACGATCATTCTCGCCGGTGACTGCCAGACGTCTGCTCGAGAGTGACCAAGATTACGTACGTACTTGAATCGCTTGGAATATTCATTTATTTACCGATGAAATGGAAACTATGTAAATGGAGCACATCACAGTGGTGAATTTATGGCACTAACCCTCTGTTGTTACACTCGGTCAAATTGACCCAGAATTTGATTTTGAAGTGAAACATCTTTGAGGCATTATTGAATATGTTAATACCGTCGCCATGTAATGGTAATTTCAGGTATCCTAAAAAAACTTTGTTGCAGGAATTTTTAATTCATGATTTTTTTTAAACATCATCAAACTTTCAATGGTAATTTTTTACCATGGAAATATAATCTACAGGGTTTAAACTTCGTCTCAGAATTTGTTGCGACTTAATTTAACAAATTGTTTTTAAACAATAACTGATTCAATATTGGCGTGCGTCAAATTGGCCAAGTGTGACAACTACGTTCGAAAAAGGAAATGTGATAACGGATGGTTAACACGTTGGCTACCGTACGGACCTCGAGACATTCATGTTACTATCAAAGCCAATCAATTATATTATATATCAATATTACAAATTTTATTACCGTGTACGTAAAGGTAAACGTATTCTAAAATTGAAGCGTTGAATCGCACAGTGAGGACTACAAGTATTTTACAAATACACTAAAATACCAAATTCATACCTTAATTACACTACTAAATAAACAGAAATATACGAATATTTTTCTATCGGCGTGGAAGTCAACATATAAACTGCCATCCACATTGAACAGATCAATCTTCGATTACCTTGTTTTTCGCTACCGCAACTGTCCTACATTAATAATAATGTGTAGAAGGGACCTGAAGCATATGGAGCAACTCACCTGTGGAAAGCACTGCTCAATATGCTTCACATTATTAACGATCATCGATGGCGCCATTTAGTTCTCACCGGGTTAATAATTCGGATAATCGAGCTTCCCCAGGGTTTCGATTTACAAGCACCCTTATTGCAATCGTCACTTTGGTTTCACCGAATATACGGTATCGAATCACCGAGAACCTGTTAAATTGGAAAGATCGAAATCGTAAAGCCCGTAAGGAGAACCGGTCACTGGATCGAATGAGAAACGATTCTCAGGTTTCGCTTGATCGAACGTAGAACCAGGCAAGAATCCCAACAGCGACAAACGAGATTAAACGAAAGTACAAAGTTGTTCGACTGCGTTCCCTCGAATATCCCCTTGAACGATCCACTCGAGCCCGGTTTATTGATTCCCCCGGATGATTCGAATTATTATTCCGCGTGGCGGAGGTTCACCGGCGGATGCCAAGCCGGCTGATGCAGAGACTGCCTCGTTCTTCCAGGTGGAGTGCATAAAAGACGCTGCTTTCACGAAGCGGAGCCAACCGGAAGTTGGCCGCCGTTCGAATGAAATTTTCTCTTCGACGCGCATCTCTCGTCAATGACAAAAGGAAAGAAGAAAAAAAAACGTTTCTTGTTCCTGCGTGTACGTATCGGTTTATGACTACGGGGATAATTCTGTTCGGTTGTCATCGCTGTTCGATCCTATCAATCCGTTTATGATCGTGAACTTTTTTGTAGTATGACGGGAAACGGACGCGGAAGGTGGCCTGGTTATGCTGTCCAATTATAGATCGACTGGCGTCAGGAAGAATGGAAAACTCGTTCGTTGTTCTCTGGGCGGTAATTGAATTTCCTTTGCTACGGATCCGACCGCCGCGGATTCAAAGCATTATTATTTACCGGTCCTTTCCGCGGGGGACGCGTTCAAAAACGAGGATGTCACCCCCTGTGAATATAAATACATTCAATTAGAACCGACGACGTTTCCGCATCGAGTAAATCGATCGTCTCTCGCAGACACGAAACGGCTGGTTTTGTGTGTGTCTCTGTGTGTGTGTATGTCCGTCCCGCGGACAGTAAATTATTCCTGCAGTTCGATGCAGAAGCACTTCATCTTGAGGGGACCAATTACAACACCTGTCTTCGGTTGGAATTAATCCTTTGCCCGGAACAATTATATCTGCATGATACAGGTGGCTGGTAATGTTAATCGCGGCGAGCGTTAATTGAAGAAGATTCGCGTGTTTGATCCGGGGAGACAGGAGAATGGGGGAACAGACCGAATTCTGATTCAAAGAAAGAACTCGCTTTGACGGGGATAGTCTAACAGAGATATTTCGCTCGCGATTGGACCTTTGAATTGGGAAGCAACTCGAAAAAGAAAAAAAATACGATGAAGATGACTCGCGGAAATGTTAAGGAAACGATTATCAACATTTCTGACAATTACCATTGGCTGCAGCCATGTTGGTTATAATAATACGCCGAAAGAAGTTCTAGATGGTTCATCTTTCTATTCTATTATACATAAAGAAGTATAATTATTTGTATGTATGTTCGCGATAATTTTGAAATTTACTAGATCGATGTTTATCAGATTTTTATAAATATGTTCCCTTATTGTTCCCCCCAAGTGGGGAAAAAGGATGTACAATTTATATTACCACCCTCTAGTAAGAAAACACCGAATATTATGTACCCAGAAATACTAACATAAAAAAAGAATGTCTTACAAAAGTATGGTCAAATACTTGCGCAAAGAAAATTATAAAAATAAACACGAAATGAGACCGGGCAACGTCGCACTGAACAGCTACTCATTCCATAACTTCCCAGAAACAATACCGTACAAACAGGAGAAATCCAAGTTTTCGTTAGATGCTAGTTTTACAAATTCTTCGTACACCGATCGTACGAATACCAAGGCGGTTTTTCCCAAAGACATTCTTCTTCCCGCAGAAAAATGCTGGAGGAGCAAAGACAAAATGGTCCGTGGCTACAACCTTTTGATAATGTTTCTTCAGGTTCCGCGGTCCAGAGCGTTATTGTTCCTCGCGGGCAGGAAAAACGTAGCGTACGTATGCGAGCCACGCCGTCCTTGTACGTGGGATATGTATACGTTAAAAGCGCAGGAGTACTTCTCTCTGATCCTTTATAGAGGATAATACGGCGTCGCCGGTTGGATAATAAAAGGACCGTGGGTCGCGATAAAATTCCGTGTATGAACGAACAAACGACGCGGAAATAGAAAAAACAACCTTTCGGAATTTTCTCGCGTTCTTTGTCGACTCTGATCGTTTTTTTTTATGTTCATCGCGTACATCCCCGTTTCTTTATGCCCGATTCCGTTGTATTCCACGCTGGTTTCACCGTATCTGTAAATTAATTTCCGACTAATTTAAAGCGTAGGAGAACGCAGGAGAGAGGTGGCTCGTGTCAACCCGAGGTATCCCGCGGGAACAGCTTTCCAACGGATGCACAAAGTGCTCCAGGGCCCTCCTCCCCCCCTAACCCCTCACGACAGATCAAGAGCAGATCCTTTAATTTTCCAGGGGTAAATACTCGCTCTATATTCAAATTTCCGGCAGACCCACGCGCTCTGGAATATATGTATACGAGCGAGCGTCGCGCAGCGGGAGCACCACGCACGCAATAAAATCAAAACGCATTAGATTGCGTTCCAGCCGGTTTATGCGACGATATTTAAAAGAGGTAGAGCGTTTGGGGGAATGAGTGTCGAGGTGTCCCCGTCGTTTTGCTCCCGGTGAATACGTATTTTATGAAACGTTCACGGAACGCTTTTGAATAAAACGTGATTGGTTCACGAATTTATGGAGTACTGATCGATACGCTCGCGGTACCTGAGTTTATTTAACGTGAATTATTCTACGCCTGAATATCAGCCGATGATTCTCTGTTAGATGATTGCGCAGGGTGAAGGGGAATCATTGCGTTCGGATATTCTACCGTGTCCGAAGAGTCAGACGCAATTAATGGGCGAACTAATGTACGGTGCAGTTTATAATTCACGGTACAATAATATTATTAATAATAACATATTATATTTA